ATGGGCAGCAACAGGAAGACGTTCTTATGGCTGTTCTCGTTTGATGGGCTGTGCCACAATCGCACCACACCACTTCTCCCGTATCGTCAGGGATGACTGTTTCCATAAGAACCGTCTAGTCGGGCATCTTCTGCGTACGTTGCAGAAGCATGCCGTTTTACTAGGATCTAAACAGAGCTAGTTTCCGGGTGGATAGACTGAGAGGCCTCTCAAAGCCCAATATCATAAAAAACCGACATGAGGACTCGGTTAAAGTTGATACCTACCACTTACCAGTGAAAACGTGTGTTCGTGGAGACGTATACACGAGTTGTCATCAAGTACCTGTGCTTAATTGGAAAACAATTGTTAGAACATTAGTACATACCTATCTTTGAAAAAGTTGTATGATATTGTTTGAACTCTACGGCGCATATACGGGGCAACATAATATCAGATGTTTCAGACTACGAAGATGTCTTATAGCTGTTTGAAATGACTTATGCTTACGACCAGAATAGCTGCCATTGCCCCAGTAAAGCGTATTGTGAAAGGTATCGAGTAAATCGTTGTATTGACACAGAAACAAGCTGATTGCAGCAGGTTCACAAGCCGTTTTCAACAGCCAGGTCTTGTAGCCAATACATGCATCTAAATCTTTCATTAATTTGTGGTTATGTGACGCTGCATTCGACTTGGTGACCCTGGCCTCAGATAAGTTGGGTTTGTGTCATAAAATGGGCAACAAATCCATGCGGCGGCTGATGAGGTAGTCATTAATAGAGGTGACTGTGTTGTGTGTTCGGCTCTCAGTCAAATATTAACTCTTTGTGCATGATTTTCCTTTATGCTTGTTCTGTATTGTGTCGCATGTGCGTTTACTTCCGAACATTAGCGGAAGCTTCAATGTTTTACGGTGCAATAAAGTTTTAAAGTAGTTTGGTAATTAGACCACTGGAAGTCGATGAGTGAGGAGAGGAGCTAGATGGTGCTGAGCAATGCAAAACTAAACCAATGACTTGGTTACACCATAGCTATTCCGTTATCAAGTAAGTGACTAAAAATAGCTCTGAGTCAGGACCAGTCCATGTTACTTATGGGCACCGGAACGGAACAAAACGCCACTAATTGGATGAAAACGTTTCACCTCATTTGTCTACGAAATCGATCATTTACTCAAGAGCACAGAAATCGCTGTAAAGAAAATATGTATAAGAACTTTATAGGTAATTCCAATAATAGATATCCATAGGGCTTTGAGTCAGAACTAAAACATTCCGTCAGAACTAAAACAATCCGTCAGAACTAAAACATTCACGGTACCAGGTGTAGACCGCTATGGCCAATCCACGGCCAAGCCGACGTAGGTCACATATTATTTTAGTGATACTAACGGAAGCACAAAACTAGCAACTCCGTCCCGAAAGCACGGTTGATCCATAAGCTATCGGATCGTCTTAGGCGAAAAAAGATTTTCATTTTCAGAGTATCCGCATCAGTATCTGATCTGCATCAGTATCATCATCATATCAGTACCTATCTGCAAGAAACCGGCTCGGTGTGGGGCCTCACATAAAGGATGCGTGGGGAATAAAGGGCACCTTCTGAGAACCGATATTATCAACTAACCACGGCCATCGCCAGGTCCAGGTCCAGGGGCCGTATTCACGTCGAATTCGTAAGTCGATTTTCTTTCGTAAGTATAATTTGGTATTCACGTCGACACTTCTTAAGTTTTTATCGACGGAGTTCACGTGAATAAAAAAATTTACTTAAGAAGTAGGTCAAACTTAGGAAAATTCTTACGAAAATGATCGACGTGAATACGGCCCCAGGTCCGGGGGCGGAAACCGGTGAGTGGGGGGCGGTGATTGGCAGCGGCCCGGCCGGCTGGCGGGCCCTGCCCCCTCTCTTGGCACGGCCCATGACAGGTGCGGCCGTGACCGGTCCGGACGGGCGCCGCCGCAGCGGCCAGTGCAGCCCGCTGCAGTCAGGATGGCGCACACGCCGTCCCTGCTGCCGCTGCTGGTGCCAGTGCTGGTGGTGGTGCTGGGCTGCGGCCCCTCGCCGGCCAAAGCACTGCGCTGCTACGCGTGTGCGCCGCTCGACACCAGCCAACAGAGCTTGGCAACCCGACTGGTGCTGAAGTCCCTACCTCTTTGCGACAACTTCAAGCCGCATCGGCCGCAAACGCGCTTCATCATGGACTGCCCCGCGATGAGCAACGCCTGCATTAAGACGGACAAGCTGCGCACCTGTTTCGTGTCTCTGCGCAAAAAGGAGCGCTGTGAGGACGGCCGGTGCACCTGTCTGACGGACCTCTGTAACGGGGCTCCGTCGGCGGCAGGCGCAGCCTGGCTGCTGATGGCACCCCTGGCCGCGGCCCTGGCGGCCGGACGTCAGAATTGGTGACTGTGAGTGACCCGTCAGCCTGTGTGACATGTCGCGGAGGAAAGTGATGAGAGGTGAGACGTGAGTGGAAGTAATAGGCGAGGAAGAAGAATGATGAGCCGCGATAATGGAAGGATCAGTCTTGATGACGATGGACGACAAGTGATGAGCTTCTGTACTGTAGCTGTGAGCGGCTGCTTTGTATGTCGTTGTCCGGAGCTCGAAAAGATAGGACAGCGTAGCGTGCCACGCCACGCAAAAGATGTGTCAGCGAAGGAGCGACACCGCAAGAGTAGCTAGGAAGGCGGTATCAGCGGAGGGCACTGTAACGCAGAGAGGCTCTCGCCACGACTACCAGCTCTCGTCAGATCAAACTGAGTGAAGTGACCGTATCGTACTGGAAAACTGGAAGATCCTCTCTGAATCACCGCAACGTCGAAGGCAGCAGCCCAGATTCATGATAGCTACCTATAGCATATGTGTGACTATCGAGAAATACGAAAATCCGACGATCGAGAGCACAGCAGTCACTGACTCATCGATGGACTCGGCTCCAGTGAAGAAGAAGAGAAGGCTGAATCAGACGTGAATTCGAGACTAATCAAACATTGTCAAAGAGTGCATTATGAAAGAAAGACGCCCAGGGAATGGCATTTAGCGGTACTGCTGTGTATAACCAAAAATAAGCAGCTATTAAAAACAGCAGCAATGTGCGATAGTGCTGAAGAGATGCTCTTGACAGTCATATGAAATACGAGCACGAGATTAGTGCTTGCGGCAGTGAAAGAACATAGATAAAACGTGAGAAATTGCCCACCATGTTTAAACCCATTCAAAGTAGGTAGAGGTAGTGACTGAAAAGATTGAGCATAAGCATTTTATGCGCGATTATAAGCACGAGTAGGTATATCATTCTACATTCGCTTACGTGAAAAGCAGCAATGCTACTATGCCGATGTTGCTGTATTTTTTAATGCTTGAACACATTATTTCTAACACATGAATAAATGTGTGCTGATAATTGGGGTTTATCAAAAAGGATGGTGAAGGTTAATAGTAAACGTTAATTGCCTCAAGCAGTGCAAAGCATATGGCGTAACAACTGTAGAACACTTATGTAAATCGTGGAATCAAATTGATCGGACAATCCACGTGGCCAATGAAATCCTGGCTAGTCAATGTGATTCAACTGGTCAAATTAAAACTAAACGTCTTCGCTCTATTTTCACCTCTGCCCATTCAGACATAGATGCAGTCACCTCAATTTTGAGTTTATTTCATAATTCCACGGCCTAAACTGCACCCGAAGCACATGCAGTAGTCAATAATGCGCAGGAAGGCGCCGGCGTGCCCATACGTGACTTTACCCTGTGCCATCGCTGGCGGGCGCCCCGCTCTGAGTCGTCACTGTCCTCGCAGTCGTCGCCCACATGACTGGTTCTGCGCGCCTTCGCAGTCTGCGCTGAAGTATCGACCACCGCTCAGTCTGACTTCACCCCGATAGTTTTTGAGTCGGTGATGCCACTCGGGGGCGGGCCACGCTCACCCGTCACCCAGACTGCACTCTCAGTGGCCCGCCAACAGAGGAAAATCAATAGTGTCCTGATGGACATCGCCCCAGCCGAGACCCACAGTCTACATAGTCGCGAGGCTGTAGACTCGAAATACAGCCGGGGCGATACCAAAATACACACCCAAATTTAATTTCGATGAAATTTCGATGGCTTTTCATTTTGTATGTACATTATGTCTCGTCTTGAAGAGAGTAAAAGACTACGTGGCATTAGCGACTAGAATGATACTCTTCCCATATAAGGCAAGCATTTCCCTCAAAGGAAACTATACGCGGCATTGATGGCCATCATTGTTGCAAAACTTATGCATATTTCATAACGTCACTTTCATGGGTCTGCATTGCTAACTTCTTATCTGGCGCTCAATTGCGGCCGGGATTGCAGGACCATTACCAATTTAGTCGCGGTTCCCGCCTTAGCCCGGTCGATGGGGAGCTGTTCCACGGCGGGACACAGCAATGTTCCCTATCATCAGCGATCACTAGTTGCTACCACACTGACAGCACCCCTTTAGCCGCCTCACTTGCTATTAAATAGGTAAATTTTTCACGACTCCCTGGCATCAATCCTGGCACAAAAAATAAGCTAGTATTATGCTGCGGGCCCAGCAGGCGTGGCGGAGTATCTGCCAACCCAACATCACGGAAGCTCATCCTGCCGTGTCTCCGCATACAACATTCTTCTGAAAGCAACAAATATCTCCATGCTCTATCACGCGAAGTGCTCGTAATGCTGTTACATATCCCGATACTCAACAGTTGAATCTGGATAAAATACTTTGTTTGCGATGCCTACGGAATGGGATTCACTCACATGGGCTTCTCATGAAGGAAAACGAGCGGCCCTGAAACTTCAGATATTGAATTATTCATGCTGCTGAACCTTTGGACGCTGCGCCATTCCTTATATTTACTATCTTTTTCGGGCCACTGCACTAACAGGTTCGTCAATGTATGCGGCTTGTAATTCGAATTGAATCCCAGCTTGGTGAGCAGGCATTCTCGCTTGCCAACATAAACCTTTAACACTGGATGAAACCCAAAATAAATGCACACCTACAAAACAAAACATCGTGTATTCACCAGTGAGCATCCATTTTCAGAGGGCATCGCACCAAAAACTGGTGCTGGTCTCGCGCCAACAGGATACGACCACGCGGTCGTTATCAACCCACATCCAGCATCGTCCAGCATCTGCTCATGGACATCCGTGTCATCCTTCAGTCCACTTTTCCCACTCTCCTTCAGTCGAGAAATCGCCTCTAGCGCTACAATCCCCCGTCAATCACTTCAGCTTGCATGTCCCTCATGTTCTCATCGAGGAAGCGTCTCTAGCGCTACAGCCCGCACCCCCTCCCCCCATTCCTCATTCACTTCACCTTACATATCCATCATGTTCTCGTCGAGGAAGCGTTTGTAGCGCGCCATGAACTTTGCGACGAACGCCTCCAGGTGGTAGATGTGTTTGGAGCCGAGGTTGAGTCGGTGCTCGTAGGCGGCCGCCTCGGCCGTCAGATCCGACTTGAGCTGGCTGTCGCAGTTGCGAATCAGCTCCCGCAGCAGGCCCTGGAGACAGACAGAGGGTCAGACTGCGGGGAACCGTCTCCTCGTGCTGGAAGGAGGTGTAAAACAGAGCGAGTCAAGGAGGTAGAGGGTGTCTGGGAGCTGCAAGTGTCGTCATCATGTGAGCATCACAGACAGAGCGGGCGCTGTGGTGCTTGTGTGGGCGAGATGAACTCGTCGAGTCCTATTGCTACGGGCAGAATGGTCAGGAGGAGAGGCATGCGCTAGGGCGGTGTGTGTGGAAAACGGCGAGATCGGGAGGTTTTGCCAGCGCGGACCAGATGAGGTCAGTCAGCACCAGTGGCACCACCGGCCCGTGCTGCTTTGGCAACAGCACGAGCCGTGCGCAGCTAGCGTCAGACCATGCCGCCGGGCACGTCCGTGAACTGAGATCATACCGAGACAGTAAACAGTGCACGACATGGTCGGCCGTCCAGCCTACAGCCCACCAAACATGGGCTCGTGGGCGCTCAGCTAGCAGAATCCAGCCCGAGCGCCGAGCGCATTCAATCGCTGGATAAGGTGCAATCCTTTTGGTAAGCTTTGGTAATCCTGTTATTGGACTGGCCAATATACACCTCGGACATCATACTTGCTCACAAAAGAATAGCATAGCCAAGACAGTCTAAAACCAACAGTAGCAAAGGCGGACAGCCTGGGCCCCCATGGATCCCCTGAGGACAGCATTGGTTGAGATGTGGCAAGACAAGAACAACTAGGAAGCTCAATTCATTAAAAATGCCTACCCGGATGATAGATGAAAACCAGAGGAAAAAAAGCAAATAAGTTAAAAAAGTTATGAAATATATGGGTGATGGACAGCAATTTACAGTCCTCCCTTCAACAATGCCGTAATCAGCAACCCATCGTTTCCGAATGTCCGCTCGTTACGCGAGCACACTCCCAAATAGCCCACTCATCACCCGAGCCCAATGCCCGATCGTTGAGAGCCGTCAGGGAAAACGTCAAACACATCAAACCGGGTGGCACCGGCGGCGCCGCCGAATGTCAGGTGGCCTAGCGACTCTCGGATCACCATAGGCCACTCCGCAGGCCAATCTAAACATGCCGTGTTGACTGCAGCGGCGTCAGAGACGGCGTGGTTTCGGCTTCGCTCAGCCGGACCGAGTCTGGGGCTGTGCCGACGGGGCTGGGTCTGAGGGGCTGTGCTACCGCGGCAGTTGGGAGCTGTCAGGGGGCTGTACCATCGAGGCCGGGGCCGGGATTGCTTAGGGGCGGGCTATGCTACTGCTGGGGCAATGTTTGGGGCTGTGTTGCCGAGTCCAGGTCTGACGCCCCCAGAGACAGGCCTGAGGACTGTTTATTCGGGACCGGGGCTGTCTCTGGCTGTGCTGCTGCCGGCACCGAGGCTGGCTGTGCCCGGCCGCTGCCGCCGGGGCCGGGCCGGGGTCGGGTTTGGGGCTGCGCTGCCGCCGGGCCGAGGACGGATCGATGGATGCTGGCGCCACCCTCTCCCATTCAACTCTCGGCCCGACGGCGGCCTCCAGAGCGCAACGCAGTAGAAAGGTCTCCCTTCCGGCTGACAGAGCCACCTCTAGTCCGGCCGGCCAACCAGCCAACCAATCGTCACAGAATTCGGAGAAGGGGATATGAATATGCACTGCGATTGGCTAAGGGGAATGAAAAAAAGGGGATATGAATAAGCACTGCGATTGGGTTATCGAGCATGACCTGAGACCCAAAAGTATATATTAGTATATGTCCCCTAGTATATAAAGTATATAAAATAAATAAATATATAAATATACAAATATATAAGGCATATACATATAAAGCATATATCACCTATATTATTAACTGAAATGCACTTCACGTCGTGGCAAGTCAAACGCAAAGGTCCTCCAATTACTCATTACACATACATGATGTATGGTGAAGTCTGCTTCCTAAATACCACGAAAGCTTATATAATTCAAGTATTAAACTTATACAATATTTACGGGTACAAGGCCGACCGCCAGTCGCTACCGTTGTCCGCGTCCAGTAAGTGCGGCCGATGATTCATGCCCCTCCTCAGCAGCAGTGACAGCGAGTTTAGCGATTCGTTCCGGTCACCGAGCCCACAAACCATGAATTCCGTCGCGTCTCGGGCAGATGCCGCGCCGGCCGGCCGGTCCAGATAGCCTCTCAGAGACCGCCACAATAGCTCGTAAATTTGCCAGCCTGTATCGCCCGGCGCAATGTCCCATCCTTAGCATCTGTATATGCCCGTGCAATATTTAGACTCGTTCGTCCGAGAAAGTCCAGTAACCGAAGCGGCGTGCACTGTGACTGAGGAATGACACGAAGGGTCAGATATGCAAGATATAAACAAAAAGTGGGCACTAGTCTTTTAATTTCCAATAAAACATAGTTTAAGTTCACGTTTACAGCAAATGATACACTTCGAAAGTCCGTAGGGGTCAAATATGCGAAATGCTCCAAACAAGCCGCCAAAACAGGTTGACCTTTTAATGTTGTGAATAGTCGTCGAATTAAACAGAGACACCAGGTTGATCAGACTGTCGTTCGCGGACTCATACAGTTGGGGTCGGCCGTATAGAGATGCGTCGTTCATCAAAGGACCTGCACCGAATTCGACATATTCGATATTCAGCCATCAAGGTGGCACGTCGAGCGGCGCGCTCCAATTTACTGTCTGACAGTCAAACTTATTGGATCGCCGCGCCAGCTAATCCGCCATGCAAGTTGTCAAATTTGAATGTAGCCGATTAACTGATAAGTCGTCTTGCGGCAAATTATGGTGATAACATATCTTCAAAGGTACGTATCTTAATTATTTCATGAGCTATATCATAGGGGCGGATCCGGATTTTCTTCGGTCAGAGGCTAACTGCATGGGGGCGGCATGTTTTCCACCTATCAGGGGCGGCAAAATGTACAATTAGGGCGCATATAGTGAAAATTGAAGACAACCTTCTCTGCTTATCTCCTTTCTTCTGATGCTTGTGGGCATAGTGATGTTTGTAGAGTTGCGGTGGCCCGTTTCGTCGCCCCGCAGGGCGGCATATTTTTTCGGCTAGGGGTTTTAGCCCCCCAAGCCCTCCCCTGGATCCCCTGGAAGCCCCACCCCCGATACAATCCACTCATCCTGCCTGCTGTCATAGTAGGATTCCTGGGCTAAATCAGTGTACCAAAATCAAATTTTTGCTTGGGTGTCAGAGGGGAAAATTGCTGACCAAAAAAAGGATGAGAGTGAAGAATTGTCAGTCAGGTAAGGCTCAAAAAGAGTGGGAAAATGATCAAAAACATTAATCTATCTACAATTGTGACAGATGCAAAACAACCATTCCCGCAATTGCTCCTTCTCGGTGGAATTGGGAGTGGAAAATTGGGCTTGAAAACTGGAGGTGAGAGTAGAAAATGATTTTCATTTGGATGTCGTTGCCCACCCACATCTACAAATTTTGGGTCACTGGGCTAAATACTGGAAAATTGAACAGCATGCACGTGAATCATCGTACCTATCCCGAACCATCAAATCATGGTAGTGTTTCAATAGAGAATTGCTAGACCTCTGCTTCCCCAAAGAGACCCCCGCAGTCCAGCGCTTTTGGCGACACCCAGGCGGGCGGGATGCGTCATGACTGGGGGGGGGGGAGGGGGGATACGCCAACGGGAGGCCGTTTAGACCCGGAGGACAGAGGGCCGGAGCGCCGTTACGCCGTCGGCGCCACTCCGCACTCTTTCCAATCGATCACGGCCACGCTGCCAGACCGCGACTTCCAGAGGTCACCGGCGAGCCGGGCGGGGTCACGGGAGCGGTGACATCCCCAAAACGAGAGCGCCGGCATGGCCGGGCGGGCCGCAGTGACTCGGTAATGAGAGTGCAGGGCAGCGGCCGAACAAATAGTTCCGGGGCGGAAGAGAGATGCCCTTAATTCACGCTGAATGAAGACATGATGCTTTAACAAGGATCGTGAAAAGTCCGTTAAAAATATGATTCCAGGTCAAGGTCACACATGACCCATTTTGACCAAAAGCAGTTGATTTATCATAAAAAACGACCTTTTTAGCTTACAAAATAGTCAAGGTGAGTGAGCCAGTTTTAGAATACAACAATACCTGCTGACAACAGAAGAATGTGTGCCATCACCTATCCATATCAAGCAACAAATGATACGAAAAATGATGGAAGTGCAAAAAAAGCGCAGGCGCGATCCCCACTATTGATAAAACGTTCTCATGTTGACGCATTGGGACACGAGTCGGCTAATGATCGGATAAGCGGAACTGTTTCCTACCGTGCTGCCGAGAAATGACGCCTGCCTCAGGTCTGCACCAGCCTGTGCTGCTCACCCAGCCTTTTCTCGTAACACTAACGGCCAATAATGAGAAAATAATTACTAACAAGCAGGCCCCAAAACTACGACGGACGGCTCCGATGATAGGCGAAGAACTAAATAACAACCGGTGAACGAGATACACAATAAAAATAATAATGCTCCGTTAAGTTTATGCAAAGGTTTGCATACGATACAAAAGTTTGCTTCCGGTTAATTACACCGTAACACACGAGTTGACGACGTAGCCACACCGACCAGTCAGCAAACATCAAAACAATAATAAGCGCTGGAACTGTCTAGCAGGTAAGAAAAAAAAAAACACGAGGAAAATTGCAATCACACATACGGCAAACCACGCCCCGTTACCGGAAAACAGCCGCGGTGCACTCGAAAAAAAACTATCTGGGCTGCTACAGGCAACACACGGAGGTCAAGGCTATCCCTGTCAGCGCTGCAGACAGGGATAGGGAAAAGGAAGCAATTAAGAACGCATCTCATAAGACAGAAAAGAAGTCAACCATCCTTCCAGCCTCGTCTGATACCGGTGACGTAGTTCAGTCGGTGAAGTGTAATCCCAGGTAGAGGCGATTAGTTCGTAAGTCGGTGATCCTCGTGAGTCATGGGTCGCATTTCCAGGCCTCGGGGCCGCGCTGGGTTTAATGCCATCGTCGACAGAATACCGCCGGTTCTGAGCTT